TTAAAAAAAAAAAAAAATAGATAAATAAATGAAACATGTAGCAAGAGGTTCTCTACATTTCATGCTCGGTAAGATTTACAAGCTGCTGCCATAGCGAAAGCAAATAAATAAATAAATAAATAAATAAACGCTTGATTCAGTCTTTAACACTGTTTTCGTAAATCCAGATATATATTTCAACGGAACAAGAATGGATGACCTAGAAAGGCCAAAAAATGAGCGTGTCTAAGTACTGTCGGTCTTTCTAAAGCATCTGGCGTCTAACGAGGGCATTCCCTGATCATTTCGGACATTCTGTGCGAATATATGACTGGATTTGTGAAAACCGTTGTAAGACTTTACACCAAAATAGCGGGCACGTTTTTGGAAATCGGTCAGATATATTATTGATTGTGTAACACATTTTCCTGCCTGAAATTAAAAGAACGCTAATGAGAGTTAAATCAAAACTGTTGAGCAATTTTCTGTGAAGGAAATTAATTTTTAGCACGTGACCATTCAAATGAAAGCTACTGAGCAGTACTTTCATTTGGTAATATATATTTTGTTGTACAGGATGGTCGTATAACTCTTTCCCTTTTTTGACGTTGACGTTTTGAGAACATATAGAGCATTTTTATTCACATGGCCGCAGCCATGTAAATTTGTTGAAACAAAAGAAAGATTTTAGGTAAGAAAAATGTTCAACTCCCAATGGATTGATTTAGTACACAAACATGGCCGCCGTTTCGTTTGGAACACGAATATGCCTACAGTGAAGTCATGTGAAAACGCTCTATACAGTTTGAAAGAACTTTTCACCGGGCGACGTCCACAGCAATGAACCTTTTGGCAAACAAATAAATGGCTTAACTATTTGTGACTCCACGATACGTGGTGCAGTAAGCAGAACGTTAAGTAAACCTCAATATGAAGTAGAATATATGACACTCATGCTATTAGAAATGCAGAATTAGTGAACTTTTTGTGGTATTTTTGCCATCGTTTAGATGCTAAAAGATTTACATCTGGGCGTGATGAGAGAAAAACGTTGACAAACATGACCTGATAATTTGTTCAAATGGAATAAGATAGTTATCTACAGTATTTTACCACAGCCATAATTTGAACTTTGTCTAATGCACCGTTATAGCTGTTATTGCAATTGAGTATGGGGTCAAATATTCTTTTGTTTTAAAAGGCATGTAAACGAGGTGAAAGGGTCAATACAATGCAGAATTGACTCTCTCGCCTCGTTTGTGTGTCAAGCCGCTGATAACTGCAATAACAGATATTAGAGATGTTAATCACTACTATCTGAGAACCCTGCCTTAAGTGAAATAATAGATATCTCATAACTTTGAAAAAACGAAACAAAACAAAACAGGATCTATCACAATATCCTCTCAAATCTTATTGCTATATTACATAAGTTGAATGTGCCTTTATTGCTGATGATTGCCATCTAACGATTTAGTTTTAAAACCGTCGTCAAAGGCCTAAAATCTAACACTGAATTAATGATGCATCCCTTTAAAAGATGATAACCTCGGCTAAAATCAAGTGGACAAACAAGACCGATCATGAATAATTATGCATCAAACGTGATGCTAATAATGCTGATTTGATTTCCTCTAGCTTCAGCAGTTAAACACTTCTTCTCTTTCGCTCTTGGTCTCATTTTATTACACGTTTTAATGTCGGAAATCATCTCGCCTTCAGGTACATCGGAGCTTCAAAAGTAAAAAAGGGGAAAACCAAAACTTGAAAAAGAAAAAAAAAAACATCAATACGTCACTTAGATTTGTAGGTTAAATTTATTTAGTTAAGGTGGCTGAACACAATTTTCGCGCGCGCTCTTGCTCCTGCAATTTAGCGGGCGCAGAAAGATTGCAAAAAACAAACATGGCGACGTCGATACAGCGATCATTTTGTTTGGCCATGGTCAATGCCCGAGCTATTTATTTCATAATTCATAATTAAACACAGTGTGTTTATGGTTTTAGTCTTTTATGAGAAATGCATGTTAGAAAATGTGAAATGTAACCCTGCAAATTGAAGACTGTTCTTTGTTACCGAAAGAACCCAGCTAAATACAGCGCATACGTAGTAACTCAAAAAGTTGCGAATGAATGCGGAATAGCTTTCTCGCTACAAGCGTGTTGCATGCAATGATAAAGAAAATCTAACAATCAGATTTTCTGCAAAAAAAACAAAACAGATTTTAAAGGCATGTTTCCATTTTTATTCATGTTGCCATGGCAAAGGCACATACGTTAGCTTAACTATCCAAAAGATCAAGGATTTTAAAGAAAAAGGTAAATGAAACATAGGTATCAAAGACTGAGTCAGCAGCCACCTTTAGAAACTGGAGAAACTTAATTGATCGTTCTCTGGGCTTAAAAAGAAAGTAATTACAAGAAGTTGTATTCTTGAAAGTGTCTCTTATTCATCAGAGGCCAGCTGTTCAAAGGGTGGATAGCCCCATGCACCGGATAAATCACTATCTAGTCTATCTAGTGGAAAATGTAGGGGTTTTCTAATATTCATCCACTAAATAGCCATTTACCCGGTGAATAGCGTTATCCACACTTTGAACAACTGGGGCTAGAGTACCATCATCGTCATCATCATCATCATCATCATCATCATCATCATCATCATCATCATCATCAATCATCTTTTTATTTAGTAATGTAGGTTACAAAGATTGCCAGCCAGTGAGGCTGATGTGGACCTACAATTAACTAATAAAATGTGAAATAAAAAACAAAATAATAATTACTTACACTCTTCTTACTTACTCGTAATAAAAAAGCTTGAGACGAACTCCACAAGACTGATCCTAATAAATATAAAAGACATAGCCCATGATGTGGTGGAGTCTCTATTCGCAGTAGAAATACATTTAGAGCTTAACGCCCTCGTCGATGTGCAATAAGCGAGTATTGATCATCTCCATGTCAAAAAAAAAGCTGGTTGTCTTGTGTATTGCAATAAGAGGTCGTTATATACGCCTTAACAAACCGCAATACACAAACCGTGAACTCATAAAATTTCCTGTCCCCACCACCTAACATAATCAGTCTGTCTAAGTAACCCATCGCACTCTGTCCTTGTGCTTGAACGTTCAATTGAACAGTTCCCGCTATTTATTATAGGTAGTTTAAGAAAACCACGACGGCAACGGCAACGGGAATGTCGCTAAACAAAAGATTTAATTAGGAGAACAATGGCTGTGCACGTGCGTTTTAATTCTTGGTACATTTCGCAAGAGAAGACAAAATTGTGCAAAGTCAAAAACAATTTATTTTCATCACTAAATTTTGTACATATACATATTTTCTATTTGTATCTTATTTCATCGTTTAATCACGATACTTTATATACATTATACACTAGCATCTATAATAACTCGTGGAATGCGTGATACTGATTGAATAGTAATGGAGTGGTTTCTATGCTATTCTCCTATATTACATGAACGGGCTTGTAACGTGACGTTTTAAGATACATATAGTAAATAATTAATGCAATTGCAGAAAAGCGGAGTTATACGACGTCGTAATTTGACTACAACTAACAGAACTCATCTCCTTTTTCCATTTTTTTTTTAAATTTTGAAGACAGAATCGGCATTAGATAGCATTTGTTCTAATAGACATAGGGAAAACTGAAAGATTCGTGTACTTAGTTGTAAAAAGCGTTTATTCTATCACGTCTCGGAAACAGTGAGGAACTGAATGCCAGAGTAATGGTGCAAAAGGGTATCTGGGGTAGTTTGTTAAGATAACAATGTGGGTCTGATTGTAAGGTGAATTGTTCCTCTAAAACTAGCAAAATGGTTTGTGTTCATGTCCGAGGAAGTTAGGTCGCCTGAAGAGTCAGGTTCAGAAAAGTCCTCCACAGATTGAGCCTTTCTAGATCCAAAAACAAGACGTCGACAACACCGCGAACCAGATTGGCATGAAAAGAAAACGCCGATGTGCTTTGATACTTATCTGGACCAAGGGTACATTACATTATTAGGCCATCTTCGCTCCTAAAGGGGAGCATATGGCGTCAACCATGGATCTCCACCTAACTCTATTACTGGCAGTTCGCTTTGCCTCTATCCACGTGAACTTATTCTTGGCGAGCTCAGCTATCACACTTCGCCTCCAGGATTGCTTTGGGCGACCTCTTCTTCTAGACCCCTGAGGGTTCCACTCGAYAGCGCAACGGGTGATATTATTCTCAGGCTTCCGTAGCGTATGCCCGATCCATTTCCATTTTCTTCTCATAATGCTTTCTTCTATACGTATTTGTTGTGTCCTTTCCCATAGTTCTTCATTTGAAATGACTTCTGGCCAGCGGATGTTCAGGATCTTCCTTAAACACTTGATGATAAAGGTTTGCAATTTCTTGGTCAGTAGTTTTGTCGATCTCCATGTTTCCGAACTATACAGAAGGGCAGACTTTGTTTAGACCTTGTTTATTTACCCAAAAAACTAGTCAACAACAAAAGAAGTAACTTCCTTAACTAGTGACGGGGCAGATCCAGTACTGAATAACGCACTTCAGTTTATTAGCGCCAAAGAACAGCGATGAAGTTCCTTTACAAACACAATTGTACACAATCGTGTTTGTATTCGGGTCAATTATTCCGCCTTCAAAAACGTACTCTGCGGCTCTGTATGTTGAACACGTGACACCAACAATCTTCATGCCCTGAAAAGTGCGAAATGCTATGAGAGAAGTTGTGAAACTGGAAAACTGTCCATTTTTGTGCGTCTGTTCATTATTTTTTGGTGACATTTAATCGAAGTTGAAGTTTACCTATGGGGCTTTTTTACGGACAAAATAACGAACATCCATACATCAATGTTTTATTAAATTAATTGGTTTAATTTTGTGCGAGATAGTACAAATTTAAAGAGTATTAATCAATTTCGTATGGGATACATCGATTTTGAATGTCATACATCAATTTCTATTATCTCGCACAACAATAATTAATTTAACAAAACATTGATGTATAGATGTTAGTTATTTTGTCCGTAAAAAGCCCCATATTTAACTCTCGAAGTGCAAAAACTACTTCCATTTTTCCCAGTGAACTGATGTTGAATCTCATGGATTTTACTATGAGATGATCAAACTAAACAAGTACAGTTTGTGATCACTCCTAACATGCGCAAGCGGAGCCCCCATATCTCAAAAAATTGGTAACCCTTTTAGCTCCTTTTGAGCTAAAACACTTTGGTTGATGTGACTGTTTCTTTCATAAAACAGACGATTACCGCTTTTGGTCTTAGAATGCAAAGACGAAACCAAAGAATGTTTAGAAGGCGCCGAAGAGGGAAATCCGTGGAAAACACAGCCAATTAGAATGCAGGAAATCCGTTGTATATTTCCAGCATTCTAATTGGCTGTATTTTCTATGGATTTCCAATCACTCAATCACAAGCAATGCGACACCCATCGTGCGCCGTATTGCTTGTGCTGGCCACTGTATTTTCTATGGCATGTATAAAATAGTTATTGTTATACCTCCCAACTCAAGCACGTTTTCCGCTCGGAGGAGAACGTGACACGTGTGCTGGATCAAAACTCACTAACTCCCTAGGGCGAAAAAAACTGGCTAACTCTCTCGGGAAACAACAACTTGAACTTTCGACTCGCACGTGAGCATGTCTTGCTTCTCGAAACCGCGGCATATTCGTGAGCCAGCCGGCGTCAAGCAAACGATTTCTTCGCAGGTTTTTCCTATTTTTGAGTTGGGAAGTATAACAAAATACTTAATGACTGGTCCCGCGGGAAACAGTGAGTTTTGTTTTCCCTCGACCTCAATGTTGAGGGTCTCGGGGAAACAAAACTCACTGTTTCCCTTATGGCCAGTCTTTAAGTGCTTATTGAACACTTTCTCGTGGCATACCATGGAATATCCCAATTGTTACCTGGGACTCCTCGGTATACAGACTCGCCTAAAGGCTTGTGTGTATACCGAGCAAACACAAGTTTCGCGAGGGATATTCCTCGGTGTGCACCACTCAGAAGTGTTGCATAACCATATAGCTGGTATATATTATTTCAGTTGCACATACCGGATGGTCATCTTCTCGTAGAGTAACTCCTGACGTAGCTGCTGCTCCAGCAGTCTGTGCAGCTTCTTCTTTGTATTTGTACTCAAAAAGTGAGAGATTTCCTGGTCCAGGCCTTCCCGGGGGACCTGAAGGGCCAGCAGGGCCTTGTACCCCTGCGCCGCCTCCTCCCCGTGACGCGTTGTATCCAGGGGGGCCTCTAGGACCCTCTGGGCCGACGGGACCTGGTGGGTCCTGGGAGCCGTTAAAGCCGATAGGCCCTATGGGGCCTTGGAGACCTGCTAATCCTTGCGAGCCCCTTACGCCGGGAGGACCCATTGGACCTTGTGTTCCATTAAAGCCCTTAGGCCCTACAGGGCCAATTGGTCCTGGGGATCCAACTTCCGATGGTCCTCTGGGACCCTGTGATCCAATATCTCCTTTCGGACCCTGGAGGCCAGGCTCCCCTTGTAAGCCGTTTTGACCGGGAGTCCCCGGTGGCCCCGGCGGACCCGGAAGTCCGGGTGGCCCCATTAGTACCGTTCTGTTGTTACTTTCCTTTAAAAGAAATCAGGAGTCATAATCGGGGACGGAGACCGTAAGCGCGCGCCATTTCTAGTATTTCTAGTATTGTTGTCCCCATGATATAGGACAATAATTCTATTTTTGGAACAAATTGCGCCATCGCCTGCGGCACACGCGCGTACATGCTGCGAGGA